TTGTGCAAATATTGATCCTATGGTCTTGGTTTTAAGACACACTGTGTTTTCCCAACACAGTTCAATCCACATTATTCTAATATTATTTATTTAGTTTATTTAGCACACATACGTACTGACCAATCAGCTATGTATTCATATTCCTGTTCACTTGTAGCCAATGCCATAGCCTAGAAAATGTACAGTCAGAAGATGATAGTAAATAAAAAAATATTGTGGTGCAATGGGTCAATTTACATTTTTCTTTTTTTTGTTTTACTCTCACCCACTTTTGCAATTAACACATCACATACACTACTTCCATCCCGCCTTACCCTCCTTATCCTTAGTTCTTCCACTACCTCCAGATCACAGTATACTGTATAAAAAGCTCACATTAACCTTAAAGACCTGGCTGCGAGGTGTCTTGTTGCCGTTATAGCCCATATCATTGCCGTTGTTGGGTGATGAAGGCCCCAAGCGGAACACGTGGCAGAAAATACGAATGATTCTCAGCAGACTCTTCATCTGAGCTTCGTAGCTGCTGGACAGGCTGAGTAGGGAAAGAGGGAAAAGGACAAGTTAGCACTGCTGCAACACACTGAGAGAGATGAGACAGCTGGAATGTACATTAGGGAAGCATTAAGGGTGCTCCCATCAGGGCTTCAGGGAACATCAGGGCACTGATCGCTGGGACTACCTGAAGCCTTTTCGTGTAGTCTTATTTATTTAACTATTATATGACTTGACAACTGTTTATGTATTGGCAGGTAACATGTGGAACATATCCCTCTCTTAGAGACAACTTATACCAAAGCAGCCTGGTTATTGGAAGCAGCTTAGGGCTTCACAAACATAACAGTGTTTCCCACAGAATGACAATGTGACTGTGGCGGGTATATTTCTATTTCATTATTGCTTATTTCACCAATTTAATTCTCCTTAGTTCCCCCATATTTTAGTGTTTCCTTTAACTGCTTCTAATCAGCTTTTCCCTTTCACCTGTGATTTTGTTTTCACAGTACCGCGTGAAATATTGCAAACATTAGCTAACAAGATGTGACTATATGTTGCCTTTATCTTTGTCTTTTCAACATAGTCCTGTATTCATGTATAGTGTTTAGATGTGATGTCTTTAATTCTTTGTCTTATGTTTCTTTTTGTATTCCATGTTACTCTCTTTTTTACCTTACTGTCTTAAACTCTGATTTTCAAAAAAACCCATTTAGGGACTGGTGTTGCAAATTAGCATCCGCCATAAACACTATGATCCTTGCCTCGGAAAGCTGTTTTCAGCCTGTCTGTGTTTACTGTATCTGTCCCAATCAAATAAACCATAAATAAATAAAAAGATTGATTAGCCTAGCACATAGCATATCTAAGTACAGGAAAGGAGGAAGTTTACAGAGGTTTGCTCAACTGTTACTGGAGCACAGAGCAAAAAACGGACGGGACTTAGGAAGGGTCAATTAAAGGACCAGTGTGTAGAATTTAGTGGCATCTAGCGGTGAAGTTGCAGATTGCAACCAACTTCAATACCGCTCGCCTTTCAGGGTTGTGGGAGAGACTACGATGGCTGCAAAAAACACGAGCCAGTGGGAGTTAAATAAATTGGGCCCACTCCCTCTGTAGATAAAAAAGCTTATTTTAACATTCTAAGATAACAAAAACACAATAATTTTTTAAATGTTACACACTGCAACTCTAAAAGTAGAACAGCGCAAGTTTTTGTTAAGATAAAAGGAAATGAATAAAACCAATATGTAAACAAAATATACACAATTATACCTGAGAAGCTTGTGTCCATTAGTGGTAGCCACTTCAGCCAGACTGATCAAGATCCTCTGGTAGTGACTGTCACTCTGCTGAGAGACATGCTCCAGAACCTGCCTGAGCTACACACACACACACA